AATATAAAACATAAGAAATTGTAAAAACAAAGAAATACATAAGAATAAAATTGAAAATCATTTTTTTCTTCAAGATTGCAATCGTAAAATCAGTGGAAATATGTAAATAATAATAAGACATTATTTTATCATGTAATTATTAATAGATCAACAGTTAAAACAATATTTCTTATTATTTATTATAATTTATCTTAAATGTATTATATTAAATATTATAAATCCAAACATAATACCTTTTATTTTTCTACATGGAATTTATTAGCTAAAGTTACGTTCACTGATGGATTTGACCTTCATGAAGACGTCAATAAGAAAAGTGAGTTTGTGTTTAATAATTAAAACGGATTGCTAAAAGCAATGATGATGATAATAAGATACCATAAGCTAACATTCAAGTAGTGCATGATGTACGTCATCACACGTGACCAAAGGTTGCCAATTTGCGTGAGAAATCACTGTCAAAATAGATTTTTCAATATCATTAAAGGGGAAGTCTAGACGATTTCCTAAAAAATCTATTTTACGGCTTGAAAATCAAGGAGCATTCTGATACCACTTTCATCCACGGGCGTTACTTTTGTGATTTTTAAGCTCCAATTTTGTAATTGTAATTACAGGTAACTCCGCCTAAGTCGAATCTCTTGGGACCACAAAAATTTGTTCGACTTACGCGAATTTCGACTTAGAAGAAGTAAATAACACAGGTTTGTTGTCATTTGGTCCAGAAATTTATTTCGACTTAGGCAATTATTCGACATAGACAAGTTCGACTTAGGCAGAGTTGACTGTATTTCTAAAATAGTTCTCGCATTGCCAAAGTGCGATGGCCATGTGATGTCATTGTCGCACTAAGACTGCACATGTGCGAACTTTCTCCATTGGCTGTATGCAAGATATTGCTGTGACTTTTGTTTCAAGGGTATAGCTGCACAAATTTTATGAGTTCTTGGGGAAAATGACCACTTTTCCGATTCTGAAACCCTTGACACATAGGGTGATATATGCTCAATTGATTCAAGATATTTGAGCTGACAATTTTGATGTAAAAATGTAGAAATATTGGTGTTTGAACCTCAAGCCGTGGGATTTCTGACTGCTTGCTCAACAAAAGTGCGACACTGACGTCATGCGGACAGTGTAGCGTAATGCATTTCGGGTAAAACTGGCTCGTGCGAGAACTTTTGCTTATATCGATTTTCCAGTGATTACTCCTTTATTCATGGGTCTACAGAGTCAAGTAAGACATTTTCTGAAAGCTTGATTTTTGCCCTATATTAATTTTAAAGTAAATTATCGCATAGACCTCCCCTTTAAAGTAGCCATAACTCTGTTATTCATTGTTCGATTTGCTTCAAACTTTTTTTAATCTGTTCGTCTCATTTTTCTGCTTCATTAAAAACAAGATTTTTCTTGAGTGGAGCCAGTCTTTAAGCAAAAACGGAATTGAAATCGGGCAAGAAATGGCGAAGAAGAAGCAGACAACCAGACTACACCAAAAGTGGCACCTATTTCTCGTCCAGAACGTTGCTCACGCAAAGAAGCCTTTTTTTGTGATTTTGAAATAAGTGCATACACTAGCAGAGTCATTATGAGGCTTATTGATCATCATTTATCACAGGAATGTCAAGTATTGAAGATTCCAGGAAAAGGCAATAAATTCCAGAAAATTATTTGAGCTGCGGAAACTGATGGATTCAGAGTGCTGTATTTTTGTCTCCAAATTTGGTTTTGGTATTGCTTAAAACAAGTGTTAGACTGCAATATATCATATATGGTAACACAGCATATAATTTACTTGGTTTCATAGGAAATGCTGATGTTTTTTTGAGGTTTACTAAAAACTAAATTTTAGCTTCAATAGATTGGTATTTTTGTCATTCCCAACCTTTCCTGCAAGTTTCATCTCAATCCGTTAACTACTTTTGGAGTTATTTTGCACAAGGACAAACTAACTAAATAACTACCGAACGAACGAACACAAACCAACCGTAACAAAAAACATAACCTCCTCCATTGGTGGAGGTAATAAAGATAAACAGGCAAGCATTTCAGTACATGTAACAAGCTCTTTTCTCACTACTCAGTAAATTTACATTAAATTGCTAAAATGCTCATGAAGTTCTTAGAATTCTCTAATCTTACCTTTATCCTCTACCACGGGTGTGCACAACTCGGATTCACTATCACTTGCTTCACTTCCATCATCAGAACTGCACAGGCACTCTATAAACAATTTTTCAAAAGTATACAAGTCGACATTACTTATGTTGCAAGTTCTATCTAGGGAAGATAGGTACTACAACTTGTAACCACTTATCAGTACTAGGCCTGTTTCGAAAATATGTGTAAACGTGTACATGTCCATAAAAGTGAAACTAGAGTAGACATTTCACCTAACGTGTATACTTAACAGATGTCACTGAACGTCTAATAATAAATCTAAATCCCCTATGATAAACAAAAGTTTAAACTTTAACCTTTGCCCACCCTGCTCTGAGTGACCAAGGATGATACAGGTGAAAAAGTGAAATGCAAGTGACTGGGATTAATTGACCGTAAAATGAGCTTATCAAACCCAAAGAATTTTAATCACCAAAGTAACAATCCAGTTTTGTAAATAAATCATACCACACCCACTTCCAGGGATAGGGGCAGTTAAAGACTGGATCCACTCCAGAACTAGATGAATCCTCGTCCGCGCACGGTCGAAATTTATGCCTCCTCCATCACGCGATCAGAAAGCCCCACTAACACCAAGGGATCAAAAATATACACCGACGTGCAACTGAAAAAAAGTTCAATAATATCCTCAAAATCTAATCAGTTCATCCTCACCTACTTCTACATACTTGAGCCAAATTCGGTGACAATCTGTTCATTCGTTCTGATGTTTTCGCGGTAACAAGCTATTTTTGCTGATTTTTTTACAAGTTTTTAGGCCCCATGACCTTTGACCTTTGACCTCATGAACCCAAAATCTAATCAGTTCATCCTCACATGCTTATGCATACTTGAGCAAAGTTTGGTGAAAATCTATTCATTTGTTCTGAATTTATCGCGGTAACAATCTATTTTTGCTGATTTTTTACAAGTTTTTAGGCCCTGTGACCTTTGACCTTTGACCTCCTACATCCAAAATCTAATCATTTCATCCTCACATGCTCATGTATACTTGACCCAAGTTTGGTAACAATCCGTTCAGGCGTTCTTAAGTTATCGCGGTAACGAGCTTCGGACGGACGGACGGACGGACGGACGGACAACCCGAAAACATAATGCCTCCGGCACCACCTTACGGTGGCGGAGGCATAAAAATCTTGTTCTTATTAAAATCAGAAAAATCAGACAAACAGATCAACAAAAACAAAAAAATAAGAAAGTTATGATTTTTTAAAGGAAATTTAAAAATTGATTTCAACAGTGATTTTTAATGCAAATTGGCAAACCTTGGTCACGTGTGATGACGTATATCATGCACTTCTCTGCAAGCAACTTATTATACCTTATTGTTTTATACCATCCTTTGTTAACACTTTAATGCTAAACAAAAGTCTATTTCCGTCGATTAATGCACGGATTCATTAGCATGCAATAATTCAATTGTTCAAATATTGAAAAGCAATTATAATAAAAGTAATTATAATGGATAATGATTTTAATAAACAATAAAAATAATAAAATTTACATATTTCGTGTATTTTCTGCTTTCATTGATAAGTTTAGATCGTCTACTTATTTAAAATAACTTTATAAAATAATGATTGTGGTATCCAAATATTTCTCACTGAAGATCTATGTAAATCGGCACAAATATCATGGAACAAATAAATACATAAGAATAAAAGTGGTAATCCATTTTTTTCCAAGATTGGATAATCGTAAAATCAGTGGAAATATGTAAATAATAATAAGACATTATTTTCTCCTGTAATTAGTAATAGATCAACATTTATAACAGTATTTCTCATTAATTATTTTTTATTTATCTTAAATGTATTATATTAAATCTTATAAATCCAAACATAATACCTTTTATTTTTCTACATGGAATTCATTAGCTAAAGTTACGTTCGCTGATGGTTTTGAACTTCATGAACACATCGATAAGAAAAGTGACTTTACGTTTAAAGATTAAAACGGATTCTTAAAAACAATGATGATAATAATAGAATATCCGTAAGCTAACAGTCGAGAAGTGCATGATGTACGTCATCACACGTGACCAAAGGTTGCCAATTTGCGTGAAAAATCAATGTCGAAATGGATTTTTCAATATCATTAAAATAGTCATAACTTTCTTATTCATTTTCCGATTTGCTTCAAACTTTTTTTAATCTGTTCGTCTGATTTTTCTGGAGTGGAGCCAGTCTTTAATACTAGCCTTAGCTGTCATAATTGATAGTGATAACTATGAGCGAATAAGAAGATCTTATTACAGTGTACATGTACATGTGAACCCGTCCAAAAAAACCAAGAGTGTAAACGTTAGAGAAAAAAATCACTTTCGAAACAGGCCCTAAGCGGTACTATGACTATCTTTGTCAATATGGGTTTCTTTTGTCAAGAATCAGTTCATGACATGCTATACATAAATACCCATACAGTGTTTACTAAACGTAAATGTCCCCCAGATTATGTATCATACCATTTCCTGAAAAGATCTTTTTGCATGTAAGAAATCATCTTCTGAAAAGTACATATCAATTTCCAGAAAATAAGCATAATTTCTACTTTGGGGACATTTTCTGAGCATCATACCCTTAGATACATTCCGCCCAATGGGGTTAATCAGGCTAAACAATCTGTTATTGGTTCATTGGCCATACAATTAGTGAATCTTATTTTTTGGTCATGATGGAGTTGAGACTTTGTGTTCACGGACAGTACAAAGATACAGAGGTGCAGAGTCAAGACCAGTTTGCTAGATAAGAATTTAAGCGGCTAGAAAAAAAAAAGGCTGTCATACTTATATTTGACACCATTTTGTTGCTTATCTATTGCAGGTACATGTCATCCCCTAATGAAAAATTTTGTCTAAGCCATAAAATCCTGCATCTTGATATTTGTCTTAGGAACAAAGTTCTCAATTCCAACACTGGCTAAAATTTCATACCCTCATCAGATCCCACATGCACATCCTTCAGGCTCTTTCCAGCTAGACCACTGATGTCCCCACTCTCCATCTTCAGCAGTACTTTGGAGAGTTTAGCTACCTGCAGAGTTGAGTCTGGTAGGCGGTAATACTCTCGATGTGTCCGTACGTCATGTCCAAGAAAGCCTGCGAGTATGTCCAGCTCGTTGTCCTGCAAGTTCATTACTTGAGATACTGTAGCTATGTGTTTCCGAAGTCTGGTAGCTCGCAGAAGTTCCGGGTTTTTTGCTTCGCACCTTGCTGAATGATTTCGAAGAGTGTCTGTTCCACGCAGATGACCAGAACCTCCCGGCATACCAAACAGGTACTTGTTGTGATCTAAGCCTGCCTCTTTTCTACATTCAGTTAGAGTGTCAAGATCTGCCTTCATTTTGGTGGTTAAGAGAATAGGAACAGTGCGGGAACGTTTCCCAATTATTTCTACTCTCCATAGTGCCTTACACAGTGCCTTCTCAACTACAGACAGGGCCCCATCTACTATACATGTCTCCCCTCTAGCACATTTGTTGTAATCATTCAGTGTCATTCTTGACACCTCGCCTGATCGTTTTCTGTTGAAGACGATTACTTGAGACAGCAGGACTTCAGCTAATTTCACCCATGCTTTCTGCATTTCAGACCCAGACGACCTCAGTAGCTCTTCATGATTTGTCTTTGCCTGGTTTTGAAGGTACCTAGATAGCTTCACAACATCTTCTGTCAATGGGAGTATCTTGGGGTTGTTGCGTTTGGCTTCTTCAAGGGTTCTCAGAGCGTGGTGGCTCACCTCCCCCTCCCAGTGCAAACTGTACAATTCAGCAACTGCTCTGGATTTCTTTTCAACCGCTTCATCACCAGACACAAGAGCTTCCCCTCGAAGTATCTCAGTGCATGTCTTTAGACTGTGCCCAATCTTTAGAGCCAGGCTTGGAGTTGTGTAGATGTTATCGTCTCCATTGAATCCTGAAGCTTGTCTTGTAGCCTTAACTACGTCATGGAATTTCTTTGGGCATATAAGGTCTTCCATTTGAGCATTTGGCTGCTCTGTGAGAATTCTATATTCAAACAACATCCGTGCCAGCTCACGTAATCGCTGCCTAATATACCCCTCCTGGTCCCTGGTGTGTCCATGCTTCAGAGTCAGCTTTTCACCAAACAATTGTATTAGCCTGTCCGACCTGACCACCCTAGCTATGTTGTCATCCTTCATGGTGGCTAAAATTTCATGTGTTCTCTTGCTTACTCCAGGAGTGATAGGCAGCATCATTCTACTTGCCTTTGCAAGTCCAGTCCTTCGTTTCTTTTTAACGGGTTCATCAGTAGCATCTGATTCATCAGTTGCCTGGCTGCATTTGTGTTTCCACAGGTCACTTTTCGCAAAGTAGCCGTAGCATCTTGTGCAAGGCAAATAGTCTCGAGCATTAGCCTTGTATTTTGGCCGATAAACAACTATGAGTGTACCTTTTCCCTCCTCTAGAACTTTATGATTATGGAGAAAATTCCCGTAATTCCTCATGAGCGTCAGGAGCTTTGCACGTTTCTTTGGCTCTTTTGTTCCAAGCCATTCATTGACCTGTGGTTCATATTTGTGCTCTGTAGTAAGATGTCGAGGCAACTTCTTTTGCCCCACCAAACAAAAGGGACAGAACTGTGGCTTATCCCACCTGCGTCTTTCCTCTTCGTTTGATGTGCAGAGGACCTCAATGTCAGATTGCTCACATGAAGAGCTGGAGACCTTGGGATTTTGACAATCGGAAGATTCAGCCTGTTGATTGTTTGCCCCATTGGATTCTCTAGGCTCACAGTCAAACTCAACACTACCATCATCACTATCAACAACGGGGGAATTTTTTTTTCTGCGTCTAGTGTCTGGAATCTGCAAGATGTCATCAGAACAGCTAACATCACCATCACTTGCAGAGTCTGGTACATAATCAGGGTCATGTACATAATCGGGATCATCGGGTTCTGATTCTTCAGAATCACTGTCAATAATCACAGCTGTGGCATTAGATGACGTCACTATTTGGTTGGCACTGTAACAATTACTGGCAATTGGAAGTGTCTGCATGCTCAGACTTGCAGTGACTGGTGGCTCAACACCGGCAAATAGACTGGATTTAGGTGGTTGACATTCCTCCAGATGGGAGCTTGTATTACCAGCCGAATATGCCTCAGTGTCTGCAAAAGTAGAGGTGGCATGTAGAATTTCAACTCGTCTGAGGGCTTTACTGGGTTTGCATGGATCACTGTCTTCGTGATGGACACTCCTACTTTGCCTTTCTCCCTCATGCTGAAGATCCGGAGTGGCAGCATTAGACAATTCACCATGTCTAACAGCTTGGTCCAAAGGACTTGTTTCACCTAGACTGGCAGTGGCAGCTGGCTCAACATCGGCAGAGAGACTGGATTTAAGTGGTTGACATTCCTCCAGATGGGGACTTGTTTTACCAGCCGAATATGCCTCAGTGTCTGCAAAAGTAGAGGTGGCATGTGGAAACTCAACTTGTCTGAGGGCTTTACTGGGTTTGCATGGATCACTGTCTTCGTGATGGACACTCCTACTTTGCCTTTCTCCCTCATGCTGAAGATCCGGAGTGGCAGCATTAGACAACTCACCATGTCTAACAGCTTGGTCCAAGGGACTTGTTTCACCTAGACTGGCAGTGGCAGCTGGCTCAACATCGGCAGAGAGACTGGATTTAAGTGGTTGACATTCCTCCAGATGGGGACTTGTTTTACCAGCCGAATATGCCTCAGTGTCTGCAAAAGTAGAGGTGGCATGTGGAAACTCAACTTGTCTGAGGGCTTTACTGGGTTTGCATGGATCACTGTCTTCGTGATGGACACTCCTACTTTGCCTTTCTCCCTCATGCTGAAGATGCGGAGTGGCAGCATTAGACAACTCACCATGTCTAACAGCTTGGTCCAAAGGACTTGTTTCACCTAGACTGGCAGTGGCAGCTGGCTCAACATCGGCAGAGAGACTGGATTTAAGTGGTTGACATTCCTCCAGATGGGGACTTGATTTAACAGCCGAATATGCCTCAGTGTCTGCAAAAGTAGAGGTGGCATGTGGAAACTCAACTCGTCTGAGGGCTTTACTCGGTTTGCATGGATCACTGTCTTCGTGATGGACACTCCTACTTTGCCTTTCTCCCTCATGCTGAAGATCCGGAGTGGCAGCATTAGACAACTCACCATGTCTAACAGCTTGGTCCAAGGGACTTGTTTCACCTAGACTGGCAGAGGCAGCTGGCTCAACATCGGCAGAGAGACTGGATTTAAGTGGTTGACATTCCTCCAGATGGGGACTTGTTTTACCAGCCGAATATGCCTCAGTGTCTGCAAAAGTAGAGGTGGCATGTGGAAACTCAACTCGTCTGAGGGCTTTACTGGGTTTGCATGGATCACTGTCTTCGTGATGGACACTCCTACTTTGCCTTTCTCCCTTATGCTGAAGATCCGGAGTGGCAGCATTAGACAACTCACCATGTCTAATAGCTAGGTTCAAAGGACTAGTTTCACCTAGACTAGTTGGTTTGGTTGTAACAGGCTTGGTTGTAACATCAACCTACAAAAGTGGATAAAAAGGAAAATAAAGGACATTTGTACTGATTATGATGTTGATGCCAAAGAATTTGACGTATTTCTTATAAAATGCATGTTTGAATGAAAAAGGGACCACTTTGTATATAACAATAGGATAATTCAATACTGTATAAACAAAGCAAATTACACTCTTTCTATGGAAAATTACAGTGCAAGCGGATTTTGTGTAATTGTACAAAAATTGTTGCTCCCTTTGCCAAAAACTTGGCTTAACCCTATTCCCATTGGGGGGGGGGGGGGGCTTTTTTTGGCCCCCCCTCGACATTTTTCACGATAATTCTGAAACGTGAAAAGCTCGCGCCATGAATTTTTTTGACTTTTTAGTTTCAAGTCTCGCGCAACTTTTGAGACCAAATTTGCGACGACCGGGTATACGGTACCGACGCTATGCGCACTTGAAAAAAATTCGCCAAGCCAAATTTGAGTAAAAAACATGATTTTATGTACAAAGTCAAAGTAAATTGTGTTTTCACTAAATATATATAAATCCTTGTCTAATTTTCATTTTAATGGATGAAATTGATAAAAAATGTACTTTTTATGACTCTAATAATGTCCCCAACAATTTACCTCGGAAAAACAATAGACATAATAAGGCCAAAAAAACAAAGAAATACATAAGAAATTCACAAAAACAATAAAATACATAAGAAAAAAAATTTGATGGCATTTTTTTTCTTCTCAATAATCTGTCTGAAACATTACTAAGAGTATCTAAACCAAAATTCAGCACATTTAGAGCTTCATGAAGTGATTAATTACTCTTAATTAGAATTCATGCATAATTATGCATAATTAGTGCCTAATTAGCATAATGAAGGGATTTTTGACAAATTTAACTATGCAATCTAAGAGTTAACGTCACAGACTATGTGCATGCCGAATTTCGGCGCGAACACGCGATCAACGGCCGAGATCAGAGGGGGGGGGGGGGGGGGCCAAAATAGCCCCCCCCCCCCCAATGGTTTCAAGACCCTCAAAAAGCCCAATGGGATTAGGGTTAATCCTTTACAGGCACAGCAGCTACTTGAAAAGTTGGGGGAGTTGGGGGGAGGGGGGGGGGGGAGGGGGTGGGAGGCAAATGACCACCATAGGAAAATTAAAAGTATGCGGCAGGCCTGCTGCAGACTCAAAGTCAGCCGCAAGCACTGTGCCAGAGTGAGTCCCAGAACAAAACTTTGTGGAAGACTGTGCAGCATACCTCACTCAGAAAGCTGACCTGGGTGACATTGTATGACCAACCATTAAAAAATTTCTGTATGGAATGGATATTTTATTAAAGTCAAATAATATCCTCATATGAGCCAGAAAGAATACTGACTTCTGCTGCAAGTATGCCGCAAATATGCCGCAGGTCTGCCGGAGGTATGCCGGAGGTCTGCCACAGGTTTGCCGAAGGTCTGCCCCAATCATGCCACAGGTCTGCCGCAAGTATGCCACAGGTCTGCCGCAAGTATGCCACAAGTATGCCGGAAGTATGCCACACTCAGCCACAGGTCATGAATATTCATGATTAAAAGTGTGCCACAGGTCTGCTGCAAGTATGTCAGAGTCAGAGTTCTGCCATAAGTATGCCAGAAGTCTGCCACAAATATGCTGCAGGTCAGCTGTAGTCATGGAAGTCATGAATATTCATGATTAAAAGTGTGCCGCAGGTTTGCAGCAAGTATGCCGCAAGTCAGCCACAGGCATGGAAGTCATAAATATTCATGATTAAAAGTATGCCGCAGGTCTGCCACAAATCAGCCACAACAACTAATTTGCAGCTAAAACCTGCGGCAGGTCTGACGCAGACCTGCCACAAGTCAGCAGCAGGAGTATATCGCAAGCGCAAAACTTTCCTATGGGCAATGACCGCCGGCAAACATTTTGCAATAAGGGCAAAAATAGTTTGAGAAGTGAGAAGTGAGAACCTTCTTTTTTCATTTCCAGTAATAGGGCCTTTTCAGATGGCAAAGAACACCACATAAGATGTTTCAGTGCCACCATGTGATACAAAAGTGTTGTGAAACTCTTGCCACCCCCCCCCCCCCTTGAAAGTGAGGGGGCAGTTCTACCTCTTCTCCAATGCCGTCTTTAGCACTTTTGGTTAATTAAACAGACCGAAACCTAGCAGTTTGAAGTGGAAGATGATGAATTAGTGAATTAAATGATTATGAATTTAGAATAATTATAGAGGTGAAGGCAAGCAAAGTGGGTGATAAAACAATTATGTATCTCAAAGAGCTTGTAGGAAAGTGCATTTAGGGCTTCACAAGCTTCAACTGATAAGCATTGTTGAGGTTCAAAACAACATACGGATTTGAAACATGTGCCAGTACCTTGCGCCATGGGTAGTCATCCTCTCCATAGTTGTATCTAAGTTCAGCTCCTTGATTGATGTCAGTCAGTGCAAACAAACACAGATGGGGAACATTGTTGAATACAAGTTTCTTCATTCTGCAGTTGGGCTTGGTTTCTTCATCATTGATGTATCTTGCCAAGCAGCTCCCTTCACTTGATGCATCAATTCTGTTACATATGAGACAAAATATATGCTGCAATCTTTTTTTTTGCCCCAGTTTAGCCAAACCTGAAATTACATGTAGCTTAATAATACAAAAAATAGAAAATCTAAATTCCCCCTTTTTCCTAAAAGGGGTGAAAAAGGAAACACAAATTAATCTTGTTTAATCAGAAATGGGGTGGGTGGGTGAGGTTCCCCAAAAGTAATGGGAAAAAAAAAATCAAAATTTCAAAACTCTGAAAATTAAAAATGGCCCATGATGTAAAACATTGGATCAAGCAAACTGTTAAATGAAAGGATCACATATCGCTTGCGTAATCAATACTGAAAATATCCATATATCCATTTGCTTTATCCTAGTCCAGCTCTCAAGCATGGCATAATTACTAGTCCTTGCCATATAACAGATGGATGTTTCCATAAATTCGTGACACACTCATTTTTTGTGTCTCCTTTGGGGAATTCCGTAAAATGGTTAACCCAGAGCTCAAATTTTCAAATGCGTCAAATATGTTCAAATATTATCTCAAACTAAAGTAGAGGACTTATATTTACATAAATATATGATTAAACAGACTTTTGTAATGAGATTTAATTGAAAACCCAGTGTCTGAAATGGTGTGAAATTTTCACAGATTTTTAGAAAAAGTTGGCAAAATGTATGTTAGTCATTTTCTGACCAGTACAAACATGAAATCTATTATAAACATGTTTTCATTTATGTCCAATGTAGAGGTTTTAAAATTAAGTACAACTTTGAGTACCAAACTCTCGTTTTGATACGACAGCTTGTACAAAGTGGGGTACTAATACCAATGTACGTCCGACACCGAAAACATCTATCTTTAAATTTTCTTAAAAAATCCAGAGCAAGTCTACCAGGTAATTAAATAAACTAGAATAAAATGTGAGTTTGTTAAAAGGAATGTACCAACCACCAAACCTTTACTCCACGTTTCCTTAAAATTGAGATATAATGGTGTCTGAGGTACAATGTACATCCAACACCGCGTACATCCGACACCATAGGGGCACTATATGTAGTAGGTCATGTGTCATAAGGTTGCCCACTAAAAAGGTGGTGCTGTTACACTTTTCTGTTGTTTGCTGATGTAATTACTAATTTATTTCTGAACAATTAAAGCTTTGCCAACAAGTTCGGTATCATTCTGAAGCTTAGTTAATTGGCTATCTACAAAGGTATCTACAAAGGAAGTTTCAAAGTCATATGTTGTTCTACGGTGGAGTTATAACATTTTTAATAAGAAACATCAAGGGTAGTGCCGGAAGCGGTGCCACGTGTACAAAGTCAATGGCAAAATTCAAACTTTTGTGCTATTTTTTTAAACCTTAATATCTTTGTAAATACATGAGGTATGAAGGCAAATATGGTTTTATATAAAAGCCGACATGTCCCTCTTTATTATTGATCAATCAGTGAACATTAGGTTTGTCTGATCTTGGTGCCCAAAATTTATGAAATACACCCTAAACTTGCATATTTAGGGTGTTGTCACTTAAACTTTTTGGCTCAAAATCTCTATTTTTCAATATACTAAGAAATTTCTCTCAGACATGTTTGCTATCAAACCAAAACCTTATATTCATTTAATATCAAAGAGATAGGTTTTAACAGATTTAGGGTGTTCTATAGCCAATTAATGCCATTTTCAAGGGTTGGAACAGCTGAAAGCTGCATTCTGTGTACAAGTCACTATAAATTTATGGCATTTTTTGAAAAATTGAATCATCTATTTTTCTGGGTTTACAGTAAAAAAAAAAAAAAAGAAGAAAAACCAAGACAATTATATATTGTTGAAAAGGTCTAAGTGTCTTCTAAACAATATGATATTTTGGGGGCCATGTGAGGATGTGCAAAGTTTTTATGATCGGGACAATAACACAACACAAAAAAAAATCATATTTTTCAAAGTCAAGGTCATCCAACAATCTCCTCTTCCACCTAAATGGGTTTCTGAGTGCAGATTTGAATTCCTTATTAACATGACGAAAATTCAGTGTTTAAACTTCAAACCCCCTTTTGCTCTCCACCTCTACCAGACATCTGAGATAGCAGTAAACCTAGAATAAACAAAAGCGCTGGGCAATGTAATGGAGAAGCGACCTTGACAGGGAGAGAGATAAAGCATGATTGAGGGAGAGATGAATGGTGAAAAAGAAACCTGCACTGGCCTCGACGGGTTAGTTTTCAGAGTTGAAATTTTTAATATTTTTGCCAATTCTGGGTCATTTCACTTCGTTCAAATTTTCATTTTGGTTTTCATCTACATCCTGAGTGACTTTTGGACATGAAATTATCTTAAAACAAGTAAAATATATATTTCCTACTTCTCCTTTCCTTTCAGGCAGAGCCCCAGTAAGAGTTTGTTTACTCTATTACGTAAGATAGTGAAGAGTGCAGCTGCAATCTAATACCATAATCTCTCTTCCGCAGCTGATAAGGCGCTGACCACATTTTAAATGAGGAGAACGAAATCGGGGTTCCAATTCCCCACCTGATTAGTCCAGCCTCTGTACCGTTTTCGTTTAGCGCACCCAATCAGCTGGTAAAATAACACACCCTCAACGTTGAAAGTAGACCTAGCCATTCCTCTAAATCTGGGTCCTGAATTCGTGTGGACGGAAATTTGGGGATTGCGCGATCAGTGGAGAGACCGCGATGTGTGTGGGGGATAAAAAAGAACGAACGGACTGAATCTGGACTACCACCTGATATACATAGGATCCTATGTAAAACTGGTGGGGTATTTTTTAAACGACATATTTTCGTAATGAATTTCCTTTCAGAAAATGTATACGTTTTATATGATAAGGTCTTACTTTTTGAGATATAAGGTTTTAACATACATGTACAACATAAAGTGTACAGTATGAACAGCAAAATTACCATGTACGTGTAACGCGATAGTGGGCGACCTCATGTCGAATGACCAATAATGACATGTAGCAGGGCATCACATGCACTAGCACTAATGACATGTATAGCAGGGCTCCACACTAGCACTGGTCCACTGGTCCGACGGTTCGGGACCAGCACAATTAGCTGCTGGACCAGTTCATTTTCAAATTTGGCTGTATTTATTTAAAAAGAATGGTTAAAGGTCCGACAAGCGATTATTGACTTGAAAAAAATGCTTAATGTGGAGCCCTGCATGTAGTAAAAAAAAGTATAATCAGGTTATTTGAAAAACTATGATAATCACAGATATATGTAGGATTCCTGTGAAATAGCGAAAAAAAATACACGGGAGCGACGGGGCGATTCGGCCCCGTAAGCCTTAAAATTGCAACCGTTAAGACCAACACGGGGGCAAAAAAAATGAGATCACATGAAAAATAGCCCATGGCCCCACTTTCTTCGAATCTGAAGCGGAGCGAAAGTTTGGCCAAATTGTTTCCTTGCTTCTTTTAAGCACTATTTCTGCAGTACTTTGCGATACGTTTTTTTTCGATACTTTTATTCCGCTAACGTTAAATTCTGCGGGTTATATGGCTATTTTGGAGATTTGTACATTAACACAACGCTCATTTTCGCTGTGCGAAACTTCCATTATTTCACCTACACGAACTGCAGGATCAGCGCTTCTTCAGCTTGCATGCATTATGCAGGCGTAAATTTGCGTCTCACATATTTGATGAATGCGTTCAATTGTGCACGCACAGACTGTATACTGTGCATGTTGTGATCCCCGAGTATTCGGAGCCGGTGTGGTTGTGATTGCAAACCACCTCTGAATTCAAAGTCGACATCGATCACAAATCACGATGGACAAGTTAGTGATACAGACTGGCATGGTTGATGGGCTAAATTTACGAAAATTACATCCAAAATATAACTCAGTGACAGGGTATGTGGACTGGAGTTTTTTGGTTGAATGTTGAATGACATGAATCTATTTAATGCAGTCTGTTGCTTTTATTGTGCATGGCGTTAAGTCACATAATGACCCCGGTACCCATACAGTGCCCGGGAATTACCATATTTGTCATTCAACTGCCGTATTTGGACATGGCGGGGCACCGTGCAGGTGCCGGGGTTATGTGACTTACATGTAGGCCTTCACAATAAGGGGGTAGAATTATTATTTATTAGACTCAGCATTGAAAACAATGTTATAAAAAATAGCCCTTGTGAGCCTCAAAATAGCCCCCGTGCACATGTTCACAAGGACGATTTTTTTCCTCCAATTATTCAAAATAGCCCTCATGAAAAAAAGTATTTTTGAGCCTGCTGTGAACATTTTTCCCTCATTTCAAATCACTGTAAAAATCCATTTCTCATGGTAAACTGAACGTTTGATAAGTCCGCCTATTACTATTTAATCCAATTCGACACTGTGGTACATACATTATCCATTTGCATCTCATATTTTTGATGATATTGTGTTATGATATCTCATATTATGATATAGATGTACACATCTGTACATGTAAATTCGGTAAATTCAAAGTTCTTTTCTATTCATATATTTTACACTGTGCATAAACACTACATGTATAGTGTGATTGGCCAATATGCAATCATGAGACAATTCCTTAGAACATTATTTTCCATAGGGGTAATTCCACGATTAGTTACGTTACACTTTATGGTGATTTTTCCACTAACATTGTTGCCATTGGAAAAAGTATGAATATTTTCATTCAATTTTCGTAGGGTAAATACATCTTGACTAGACCTACTCCACAATATATATTACCTGATTCATTGAGGAGCAATGAGACTTCAAATAAGAGGACATGGAAAAAATATGACATTTTGAAGAAAAAAATCTGCCGCCTAAACTACGGAATATATATTTATCAAAGTTTAATTTTATTTTAATTGCTGACATCTTACTAAGTTGTCAAACACATAACTCAGTGCAAACAGTTCTGTAAGTTTAGAGACAAATTAAAAAATGTTAGTTAGTTGTCACATTCCAGTTAGTTACGTAACAGTTTGTCCATATCAACTAAAATGGTAATTTTTATGAGACGATGC